AATATCAAGTGGTTTACACTTCGGTCTAGACTACAATTCAAACCGGTCTATAAACCAGTCTACGGTTCGATTTTACTGCACAAATTAGCATGTGACTTTTTGAATTGGTTACGGCGATCGGCGAAAACTTTATTAATGATTTTTCGGATACATAGCGAATCAAAAATAAGAAATGCAATATTTCCGATTCAAGCTTACCACTTTTCATTTTCACATCATTCCAATCCGCCTTATATTCATGAAATTTGTTGCTTAATGTGTTAAGATATTTCGACTCAAGTACGATTCTGCGCCAAACATCGCAATATAAGTAAGATTTTGGCAGGGGCCCCGGCTGAAATTACAATCATGTGATTTTTTTTTCTCTAACTGCGTCGGATGAGGCACGTGTTAACGATCATGATTTTCTCAAATATGTTAAAAAGATTGGGAATGGTAATATGTCCGCTTTGACTTTGAGCATCTACAGAACCGAAAAAAAAATTAGCATCGTGATGACGATTTTTTAGAATCAAGCCAAGAATCAAGCAAACTTACTTTATTATTACTTTGCGGAAAATACAAGTTCATTTGATTAGAGATATTATTGATGTAAATAATGGTAAGATTTGGTGTTTGAATTTTTCGTTTGATTTTTGCTTTTCTTACGCAAGGCAGATAAAAGGATTCACTAGGGCATCACCTTTTTATACAATTTGCAGGATCGATCTTAGAATACACTTTGGGGAATATATTACGTTAATATGATCGCATCACGAAAATCTGATCAACGGCATCCCTTAACTCTATCCATATATAAAGATCATCAAGGGACTATACATAATTTCGAGAATGTGCGAGAAAGTTTGAAAATAAATTATTTTGCGCTCCCATGATACATGTGACATATATATTAAATGTCACTGCAGATGGATGACACGCTCGCACTTCAATTCCCACAATCCTATAACCCACTCCATTATATATCTGAATTTGGTAAATTTGTGCCAACTTTATTGATCGTACGAGAAAAAAAAGGTCGAAGTAAATGAAAAAAATATAATTGTATGCAAAAATATTACTTTATTCTTTCGGCAAGAATTTTACCAAATATCCTCTTTCACTCAATTCACGTTTTTTATTGTAATAAAGCATGAGTCACCCGTAGAATACAAAGATAAAAAATATCAAGATGTAGGACCTCCTAGTATGTAGTATGCTAATAATTACGGTTACTAAATACGATTATTTGACCTTCTTCTTGGTAAGTTGTCATAAGACATATTTCCAATTGAAAGTTGTCATAGCTGATCGCATTCAAGAAGTATACCACTTATATCCAATTTTTTCTTCAAAAAGGAGGTTACAGTAAAATGAAAAAATTTTTCGTAATTAATATAAGCCCATCCTTCCGCTACTCTTAAAGTAGTAATAGCTTCGGTGATATTATTAGTTCTGTATTTAACTTCATCACCTTCATGGACAATTTTATCTTTAAATGCGAGCTGTAATCTCGTATTCCCTATCCAACATACCAATAAAGAATATTACATACTACACATATTTTCTCAGTCTGCGAAGAAATGCAGGAAACTTACCATAAAATCTTGATCGTTTCTTTATTGCATCAGCATATCAGAAAGCTGAGTAAAAAATTCTGTATCTTCCTTGATATCATGATCTAAAAATTCTATGTTAAAATCTGCATCATACCCAAAGAAAATATCTCAAACAGTCAAGCTCTAAATAAATTCTAACCTTGATTGAATGACAAATTTGCTGTCCTTTGTGTCAGCTGATCTATTATATCCTGATTGATCTGATTCATTTTAACTAATTCCTTATTTTTGGATAGAAGCAAGAAATCAATGATAACATGCATATATCCTTCTTTTGGTTACCTTTCTTCATCATTCCAAAAATTTTTAACACTTCCTCAAAGCTTAGTTACATTTTTCGTTTATTGTTATTCAAGACAAGATTAGAAATTCTTCTTCACTATTATTATCGATTTCCACTTTCCACAACCTTAAATCATCAGCTTCAATCTCAAGGAAATCGTTATTTGTCTTTTTGACTTTTTCGTAAATTTTCACTTTGAGATCATCAATATAATCAGTGATATGCACAACAACAGTGAATTCTTTAGAATTTTCTTCAACATCTTTAAAGAGCCGGCAGGTCAACTCAACGTTCACCATGATTCTGTAATTATTGTCTATGATTAATGCTACATATTATAATTCAATTTTCAAATTGTACCCATTCGTCTAATTACTGCGGTTAATGATATAAAAAAATCAATATTCCTTCTGGTACTTTCATAGGGTGTAAATTGTAGATTTTGACAATTGCAAAGTTTTCACGCACTAACAACATATGATTTTTTATTACTAATATCATCAAGAATCAACAAATCATTCCCTTTTATAAAATATTCAGGTTGCCTTCTATGTTTGTTCCTATTGAAAAACACTATTTGTATTTCGTTAAAAGGATGGCTGTATATAAAAAATTATCTGACTGATGATACTGCATTCATGGGTCAAGATATGAATTACGTATATTGGGATATGTATTACTAATTCCTATTCAAAAAATGGATTAATATATTATTAGCCATACACGTAATTTGAATGCGCTAACGTCAAGTAGGATAATAAAAATATACTATTTATCTGAAGATCTGTAAATCATAGATTCATATCGCTTTATTTCTATTTTTTAACAATGCCCTGTCTTACGATCTGCATGTAAATCAGTATGTGTTTTTTTTATTAGTAATTCAGAATTGCGTATTAGTAAGATAGAACATATCAAAACTTTAGTGAAAGTTCATCGGTATAACAACACAAAAATAATTCTCTTGGCTGGGTTTATTAATAGAACTGTTTAAAAATAAAGCTCATTTGATAACGGTGAAGTTAAATTACATGCCCAATACCAACTGCAGAGATTGTTGAATTACTGCATAAAAGTAGATGACTCTTCCTTCCTGTGCATAATATATAAGCCACCCACGTAATTTAAAAAAATAAATAGATAATATATGATTTCGCATAATTTAGTCAATACGAGTAATTGATTCGCCTAATAATTCTTCTAGGTGGTTTACTGAAGAAATAATAGGACTCATCATTGATGAGACTTTTCTTTCGTATCTTTTATCACAATAGTAATAACCTCTATCATATTCAACATATTCATTATATCTATCATAGACCTCCTTTCACATTTTTCTCATGTTTGTTTGGAAAAAAATAAAGAACAAAGGTTAATATGCATTTCTTTTTAGATTATATGAAAATTATTATATCGCACAGACATGTCCTGTGATTCACATATTTTTATCACACAATCTGTGGCTCAGCAAATTCTTCTGAGCTAATAATTTCTACTCTGAATCAGCCTATATTGGAATGGATGAACAAACTTCAGCAGAGGCTTGTATATCTGATATATAACCTGTTTGTTTAACTAATCTTCGATCTCTGCAAGAGTAAATTTATATCCGATCTGGTCCCAGAGGGATCTCTTCTTACAAACATCACACATTTTTTTAGCGGTCTGATAATAATCCCTTTTTCTCATTATAGTTTGAAAAAAGAAAACCTAATAGGATAGGCTATCTCCTGAAGATCTTGACTGAAGGAGGGAATAAAGGGTATTAATTCTGATACAAGTCGATCAAACATATTAGTTATATGTATTTTATATGATTAGAAAAATTTTTAATCAGAAAAAATAGACCAGTTAGCTAATATTTTCTTTTAATATATACAAAAATTAATATGTTACACAGACCTATTGTGTGATCAGCCTATTTTGTCATACAGAAGTATATGCATTGTGGCTCAACAAAAAAAATCTTCTGAGCTAAAGATCATCACTCTGGATTAGTTAAATCAGTAAAGTACCATTATTTCAATACTAGTTCCAATTAAGAAGTTCAGAAATAAAATCGTTTATAGTATTAATCATATTCATAATTATCAGAGGAGATACATTATTACTAGACATCTTTATCCTAACCTTTTCCTTGATACATGTGCCTGCAAACTATAGCAGAGTCAGATCAATCAATAACACCAATATCGAGACTTCGTAAATCTGAACATGAGTTTATGATGAAACTTATAGATTTATCTGTGATCTAACGTGCTTTAGCGAAATAAAATTCTTGCAAATCATAGCAATTTTCTGCAATTTCAAACAAAGATTTATCAGTAACATTTTTGCAATAAGATATATCTAGATATTTTAATTTACAACACGATTGTGCAATTACATATAGACCTTTATCAGTTATTGCTTAAGTATTCCATAAATTGAGATATTTCAAATTAGAATATGATTCCGCTATTACAAATAGTGATTTATCACTAAAACCTATACTATCTTTGAAATCTAAATGAATTATATTCAGAAATGTTTCCACAATACATTTTATTTTTTTATCTGAAAGTGAATGGTAAAAAGTAATTTCTAGATGAGTTGTATTTGAGACATAAGCTGGCTTATGCTCTTCGTATAATATTTTTACAAATCTTTCCAATCAAATATGATCTTTCTCATGATAAACATATCCATCTAGAAAATGGTGCCAACATCTCAAGTCATTTCCCTTTAGCTTAATGTGTTTTTATAGAATAAAAGCACTGCATCTGTACCATAATTAGAATACAAATAGAGCAGGATACAGTATCTTATCTACTACTAAAAAATATAGAATCCGCTCTAATAGTTCTGGTATAATAAAAAGGCTTGAATACGTCATAAATAGTATATGCTGTATCTTTAATCGAAAAAAATAAAATTATGCAATCATTGATCCAGATTAATTAGATCAGTAGAATTCTACCATCCTGCTTGACCGGCTAGTATTCTATCAAAATAATTTTTCAATGATCGTCTGTTTATAGCTATAATGGGATTATTAGCATCAGAGTCAACTGTCAATATTAGAATTAGATCATTGAAATATTGGTGAAACTGAAATCCAATATTAGCATCTGGAACCATCTTAATAGTTGCTCTATCACTCACTCTATCTTAGCTCAAATATCAATCAGATCCTGGAAATTCTCGATATGGGTATTTGGATTTAGCTGATTTATGGCTTTTTTGCTAATTTTATAACACCCTTCCAGATTAAGATATTTTAAATTAAAACATTTGCTAGCAATTTCTTCAATAGTTTTATCGGTAAATTTACAAAAGCTAAGGTTAAGGTGTTGGAGTTTTGGGCAAGAGTGAACAATATTACAAATTGATATTTCAGTAATATCTATGCAATAAGAAATATTTAGATATTCTAATTTAGGATACAACCGTGCAATTGCATATAGACCTTTATCAGTTACTATCCCACCATTATGGCTTATGTACTTATCCTTTTGCAAATTGAGATACTTTAGATTTGGATATATTTCTGCTATTCGATTTAGTATTTTATCGCTAAATCCTGTGCTAAAATTTAAATCTAAATGAACTATATTTGGGAATAAGTGCACAATGTCATTGAATTTTTTATCTGAAAGTAGATGGTAATGTGAAATTTCTAGATGTACTAAATTTGAGCTAAAAATCAGCTTTGGTCTTCTCTATGCCATTTTCATAAAATTTTCAATTGAGAGTATTGTTTCCACTCTAGCTCAATGCATCTTCATAAAATAGGAGCACTGCATCTGTATTATAATCAGGAAACATATAGAGTGGGATAAAGAGATTTATCTATCATTAAAAATGTAAAATCTGTTCTAATAATTCTGCTATACTAAAAATTCTTGATTGCATCATAAATAGTCTGTATTATATGTTGTATCTTCAAATGAAAAAATAAAATTATGTGATTACTGATCTGGACTAATCCTTTTCACTATCTCATCTAACGCAAGACCCTGTAAACCATCAATAAGAACTTTAAATGTATTCTCAGATAATAATCCTCTGAGGAATAGATTTTTAAGAAACCATTCTGGATAGTCTTTGCTTAAATTACACTTTTTCAATTTCGAATAAAATTCCTTTACTGTATAATTATCCTGAGCCAATCCCTACATTTGAAATTTCATTCTCTCGGACAATATATGATTCGCCTCTCTTTCCCATATATAATATATGATTAGTTTTCATCGAAGAACTTAAATTCCTTTGCCTGATCACACAGACATATACAAATCATTATCAGGGTTAATCCATTTTTTCTTTTATCTTTACCTGATGCTTCTAGGATTCCTTCGAACAATTACAAGATAGGTCATTCATTACACCATATCTTTCTACTGATTCGTGGTGACCTACTACTTGTCTGCAAGCCAACTTTCATAAATATTGATGATAAGAATCGTTCCTACCTCTATGAATTCTGCTAGCATGATCTGCACCTATCTTCCTCAATTTACTCGAAGTAATCCCATGTTGAACTAAAGTGAGATTAATTGCATTTACATTAACTATAACGCTTTTGTTTTTTCATAAGAAGGAGAATTTTTCTGGTATTGTTTTCTGAATCCAGGCAAGTAACTCCTTTGCTCGTATTGGATCCTTTTCCATTGAGAGTGAGAGAAAATGTCAAGATTCCCTATTCCTGTTTCTTCTTTAGTTTTAGAGTAGCTAGTACAATACCAGGAATATTTAGGGTCATACCAGATTTCATCTGTTACTTCATATTTATCAATACGAAGAGTTGCCAATCTGCCGGTCGCATGCTTAACATTATCATTACATCAACCAAATCTTCCTTAGAAGGTGATAAGAAGAAATCACATTTCTCGAGTTTTTCCTGAATCAGTTCTAAAAAGAAGTGTTCAGACCAATTGACACCTTCAAGCAGTGTTGTCATGGGACATAGTTAGGACACTGATGGGACACTGATGGGACATTGATGGGACAGATGGGACATTTGGGACTTATATGGGACATAGTTGAGACATATAGTTGGGACATATAGCTGGGACAGCAAATACTTGGGACATAGGAAATGGACATCACTGCCTTCAAGTACAAGCTGTTGTGCCTGAATTTCATTCAATTCAGTAATAGTAATAAAAGGAATTTTGGTCGCTTCTTTTTTTTTCACAATAAAGTAAGTTGAGAACTTCTAGCGATTGGATTAGGCACAGAACTTCCCAAATTATATGGAATTTGTTTTATTTTCTCATACGGATAATCATTTTCCACAATTTCTTGGACAATTTTATCAACAGTATCTCTGCCTTCTTCACGCTTTCCTGTAGGTCGAATAGGAATGAGAACTTCTACTTATTCCTTAGTAAGCCCTAATTGTTAAAAATACATTTTAGCATTGAATCTTACCTTGTGATCATCCTTTAAACTTTCATTATTTCCTCTGTATATTTAGCTAGTTCGGGTGATGAAGTTTCAGAAGTCAATTTATAGCAGTTCATAAAATCTGTAGCAACTTTTGCCATATTGTTTTACGACAGTATAATCAAGAATATTAAAATGTACTAATTTTATATTACGTATAAAAAAGTTCAATTCGAAAAAATTTCTCAATCCCAGACGCTAAAGCAAAGCAATTTTGAATATCTATATTAAAAGTGAAGAAGATTATTAATATCAAAATTACCTTGTATAGATCATCTATCCTATTAATACATCAAGAAAGATGGCACAATTTGTGAGAAAAGATGCTGGCGTGTTTCAGAATATGCAGACATTATAAAACCTGTCCTAAAATAATATGCCTATCTGTAATGAGAAAACCTATTCCGATACTAGAATTTATAGCACACATGGTGGAATTTATAAGAATGCCTATCGTGAAGGTAAAAAAATAAAATGAAATCAGATAAGAATCGAGATACCTAGCTGAAATGTTGAATAATGGGCCCTTTTCTTCACATTGTTCAAAAAAAGATAAATAAGATACTTTGTTTTTTGGTTTCGAATTTATGAGAAGGCGGGCTTATATGGTGGAAGCTCTGAAACACCTTTATTTCCAAAACCAGTACTGTTATATAGCTGGCGATTAATTTGGTATGAATATTCCCAAACCTGCTATTCCTTGAGACCTATTCTTTTTCGATTGCTTTTAACTGTATAGCCACACTAATTTCCAGCAATTGCATTAATTGCTTTTATAGCTAATTTAAGGTCTGGTATTTCTTTTGTACAAGACTTAAACCCGAATAGTAATAAAGACAGATTTTGAATTTCTATAAACCTTTCACATGATTGTATAAACGCTTCTGATACCATACTACCAAAAAGGATACGCTTATCATCTATGCCTATAAAGCCTAGGATTTGAAAAATTCTTGTATAACTTTCCAATACTTTGCTGAATAAGATTTACGTAAGTCTTCTGCTACTGATTTTTCCAGATTCTCTTCAGCTCTATAGCAGGAAATTTCCCATTGTATATTTTCTTCAGCTTTCAATTCCTTCATTACACTCTTCTCATCATAACCTTGCCTTTGAAAATAAGACAATCGTAAGAAATGCTTCTGAGCTTCAGGCAAACTAAAATTTTCAATAAATTTTCTATTGTAAATATTATTCCAATCCTTGATACTCATATCTTTACAATAATCATTCCACATGTAAAAACGTTTAAGTGTCATAATATCTGCGATAGAATGCTCTTGGTCGAATTTAAGGACTTCTGTTTTTTTAGGATTAAGATTCCGGAAAGTAGCAACTGCCTCAAACTCTGTTTTCTTGATAATTACATCTGGAATTTAAATGTGGCGTAATATTCCGTAGATTTACGATTTTTGTAATATTTCAGAGTATTACGTTGTAAAACTACGTAAGTTTACGAGTTC